GCCCTCGGGCCCTCCAGCTCGTCCTCCGGATCCAGCTCTTGAGGCGGGACATAAATGCCCAGCGCCGCCTCGACGTGCCACAGCCTGGTCTTCACTGCCTGCAGGTGCTCCTTCAGGGTCTTCAGAGACTTCAGGCAGTCGTGGCACCTGCGAAGGTCCTGCCTGCCTGCAAGGAGCAAAGCCCAGTGGGAGCAAATGTCTGCAAACGGAGCAGGTGGCCAGATTTGGTCCACAAAATCCTTGTTCTTCGGAGGGGCTGCATTCTGGTTTTCCAGAAAGGCGCTGAAACCCTCACCGCCAAGCACATGGCAGGCTAGGCGTTTGGAAGCTCCTGAGGCTGAAGTTCCCTCCCAATGTTTCCTTCTGGGCCTTTTTGGCTCAGACCCCCGCAAGGGGCTGAGCGACAGAGGCAGGGTGGGGGCAACGGGGGAAGGCATCCTTCCAACTTACGCTCCTGGAAGTGAGACGACTGGAACTCGTGTGCCGCTTGTAGCTCCTGAATGAGGGCCACCATCTCATGTGGAGGCACAGGAGCTGGAAGGGCGGACTCCGGGGCAGTGTCCTCGGGGGCCAAGGAGTCAGGAACCAAGGGGGGAGCACGAGCCTTGCTGGGGGCTTCTGGATCACCTGCTGAGGGAGGAGAGGCAGAGTTAGCAATGGCAGCGGCTTGGGCACCTGGGCTGGGGGCCACCTCTTTGGGGCTTACCACTTGCAGCAGCTGGACCTGGTTCAGCCTGCAGCTGAAGAAGACAACCTGAGATCAGAAAAGGAAGAGCAAAGAACACGTCAGCTGGCACTCTCTGCCCCCCACATACCCACCGAGCTTTGCCTTTCACCCTCTGCCCTCATCTAAAGCAGGCATCTCTCCAGAGCCCCCAAACTTGTGGGGCTTTAGAAAGCCCTGGAAGTAAATCTGTCCTCTGAACCTTCACTCACCTTCCCCTACAACGGTGTCTCTTTCGACTTCGTTCTGGATTTCCCTCTGATGTTCATCATCTTCTGAAAGCCTGCAAATGCCAAGCAAAGCACGTGTGATGCCGTGTCACTCAAAAGGTGCCCGCAGATCCGTGGTGACCAACGACTTGGAAATATCCAGAGAAGGCTGGGATTTCCGAAGCCGGTTTCTCCTTCCTGCACCACGATCTCTCCCATTTGCCTTGCCTTACTAAGACAAAGAGGCAGATATTTACCGTCTGTTCTTCTCATAGCTGGATCTAGAAGAAAAGAGAGGTACAAATATTGGCTGCCAGGGAATTGAGCCCACCAGTGCCCAGATACCAACGTTGCCTACATGGACCAGCGCTCCTTCCAGTTGAAGGTGCCATGGATGATCCGGAAATGGCCAAGGGAGATCCCAAGCATGCCATTGCTGATCTGGGCTGCCTTGTTCCCAAGCCCAGACAGACATGGCTGTGAAAGACTCACCTTGGCCACAAGGCAGCCACAGGTCATCCCCTGGGCATTTGGCCTTACCTGCGGAGGCGCCGATTAAGAGAGAACCAGCTCTGCATCCTGATGCCAGCTGAGCTGATGCCCCTGGAACCCTCACGGGTCTCAAGGCAACCGAGCCTGCTGGGTTCCACCATGGCTATGAGGTCATGCCTTGCTCTGAGTCACTTGCGAAATGTGTGGGTGCAACAGAAGTACGCCCTGGGGACACACAACCCATTGCCTGCTTCCCAGGGAAAGGATCAGTCTGAAACTTTCGCTGAAACCCCTGACCTGGTTCCATCGCGGTGGCAGAGAAGTCCCGACACCAGAGAGAACGTGGCGCAGGACTATCTGTTGTCTAGTTAGTTGCGCCTCAGTGGTCTAAATAATGTATTAAGTTACTCTCATATAAGGAGGGAAACTTAAGCGAGGGACTTTTCTATCAGGCTTCCAAAACTGGCTTGAAGAGGTAATGGAATTGACCAGCTAGGTCAGCTGTGAAACTGACCAGAGAACGGGATTCATGGGGCACCCTAGAGAACCTTGGTTCTAATTCCTATTTGGCCTTGGGAAGGGGTTTAGAGGAGAACCCGGGGATGGAGCTCGGGCACTGAAGAGGCGCACCGTGGATTTTATACCTTCTGCGCAGATTGGCCCGACTGGAGGCTGTGAACGGTGGCCAGCAGAGCCCCGTCCCTCATTTCTCCCGGGTGGACAACGTGCTGGGCAAGGCAGCAGCCGCTCTGAGGGGAGCGGCTTCCCCGCAGTGCCCCTGGCCACGGCAGGCGGAGGAGCCCCTCCTGGAAGTCCTGGAGAGGCGCTCCAGCTGCTGGCAGGCCGGCCCTGCTGTTTGGCCACTTCCCCACAGTGAGGTGCTGCTGCCTCAGAAGAAGCAGGAGGACGGCTTCTCCCCTCACCTTCCAGGGACTCCAGGGCGAAGCCCAGGGCAGACGCGGCCCAGAGGGCAGGAATCTGCTCGGAGAACTCCTTCTCCAGGTCGCAGGTCCGTGGGTTGAAGGAAGCTTTTCCTTCCGCAGCCAGTCCTGCCCTCCGGAGTCCGTGCAGAGGGTTACCCTGCGCCTCGGCCTGGGTTCTTGGAGAAGCAACCGCAGCTGAGCAAGATGCGGAGCAAAGAAGCCGGACCCTCGGCCTGGGGCTGGCTGGGGTGGCCTTGGAAACAGCCCACCCCAGATACAAAGTTTGGTCCTGCTTATAACAGAGATTTGGATGGTTTCTCCTTGTAGGCTGTTTAGAAAAAGATGCCTTCTATTGATACTTTAACACAGGGTTTCTCAATCTTGGCGACTTGAAGATGTGTGGACTTCAACTCCCAGAATTCCCCAGCCAGCAAGGGCTGGCTGGGGAATTC